TGCACAGCATAGAGCTTTGTATTCCATTTTCGCGTGGTTTTCGTCTTTGTCGTCGTTTAGTTCTCTTTCGCGATCGTATTTTTCAGGTTTTGGCAAGCTGCAAGAGACAAGGCCACAGAATAACGTTGGCTGCGTTTATTACCAATTTTATTTTATATTCTGACCGCTTAAATAACGCGAGTAGAAAGTCAAAACAATGAACGATCAATCAAAGGCCACGAAGTAGAAAATATACGATAGTTATGGTTCATATTTCTTTACACATAAGACATGTGCAAATAATATGTTATGTTGTTTAGAAAAATATTTATATAAATAGTTTTAAAGCTATTACAAAATTCTGCCTAAAGAAAAATAAGCAGAGAAAAGCAAATTACAAGTGCTGAAAACTGTGTCAAATAATTGTTAATTTAAATCAACGGCACAAAAAATGCATATAAAAAATGTGATCAACATAAATAAAATTGATAAATCAACTTTATTGTATTGTTCAGATTCCTTTTTTGTTATCAATTTAGTTTCACCTATATTGTTATTGTTATTACAACAATTGTTTATTCTTACATAACAAAATTTATATTTTCGCAAACACAACAATTGAAATACGTATATGATTTCTATCACAGATTTTCTTAATAATTAAGCTCAATAACTATTAGCTAGTTTTTAACGCGCATTAGAAATAAATGCTTTATAATGACCTAATAGGATCTATTTAATTAATACATTTTGATGTTAATGGATTTATGACGTCATACATTTTTTATATAAGAGAAGAGGACAAACGTGCGGCGGGTACAACGAGGTAACCAACGATAGTCTGGACATCCGTTATACCATAGGAACCGCAGATGCGCTGCCGATCTTAGCTCACCATCACACGAATCAAAAAAACTTCTAATTTCTATGACAATAATTCATTCCATGCGGTGCTATTCCAGTAGTCTGTCAGCGTATTCTGTACATCACCAGCTGAGTATGTCCCAACCCAAGGGCTCAAGTTACTCAAAGTTGAGGATGATTACGCTTTGGGCGACACTGGCTAAGTACGGATTTTGATTTTAAAGACATTTTTAATTTTTTCACGACGTTACAACTATTTTTGTCATTTATCGAATTTACGTATATTTTATAATACAACCAGGGTATCATATGTATGGTTAAGTATTAGGAATGCATGTCGTGCGTACGACCAATTCAGGAGCTGTGGTCACTGACGACCGGTCAGCGCCACGCCGGTGAAATCCGTTAGCCTCAACGAACGCTGCTTTCTACCAAATTATCCGGCGTAACCGATCACGCTTGACTTCTAGTCATGTAGAACATAAGTTATTTTAGTATTCTACTGGTTAGAATAACAAGCTCCTTCAGTTGGATACACGTAGAGAAAATATTTTGTAATGGCCTTTATTTTTAGTTGTTGTTTGTAAGGAATTCATTTTAAGTCCTTTTGGTAGAGATGGGTAAATACTGTCGTGTAGAAAGTTCGTGAATATTTTATTCATGATGAGCTTATTATTAGTAAGAATGAAATCTTAATTGCAATAAATTATTACACAATTTCTAAAGCTTATATCAAAATTTAGATTTTAAAATTATACAGACATGCGTGAAAATTGTAAAAAATTTAATGCCTATTAATTAAGTAATCGTATACACCTGTAAAAGCCTACCAATTAAAATCTTGCGCAATCAAACATCGTAATTACTTACTCGATACAACTATGAATATTATAATCGCCATCACAAACAATGTGAGCATATATCAAAAGCTATGACTCCAAAACACATCGCCCTTTCGATATCCTAAAATTAGCGGTCGCCTCCGTCTCCGTCCGCGCGGAAGTAAATAAATTAATACATGTGTTCTTCCTGGCTGTGTTCTTTCTACATCTATACAAATTTTCAGCCAGATCAATGCATCGGTTATGGAGATGGTCTCTAACAAATATCCATACATCCAAACATTCGCATTTACAATATTAGTAGATAATCACACTGTTTCTGCAATTACATTCCATACCTATAATTGTAAGTCTTATCAATTTAATAGTTTCACATTCCTTTGTTAGCTAATGATGATATTTGTTAATTAACAGTGGTAGAGCCCGCTTTAACATCTTCGCACGAATTGTCCCGGCTCGCCCGGGGAAATACCACGACCACACAGAAGACAGGCGTGAAGTGGAAGCAATTCCGCGTTTCGTGTGATGAGTGTGCGTTCCGGAGGCCTCATTTAGTCCTCTTTCCCTTCCCACCCTTTTTCTTATAAGGAAAGGATGGGAAGTGGAAGTGGACTTTCCGGATGAGAGGATGCATGGGAAGGGAAAATATTTTCTTTCTGTCCATCCTGTCCTCCGTCGATTAAAGGTAGGCAACGCATATGCAATTGCATATGTCTATGGGCAGCGGTCGCTTCGCTATTTCAGCGATTTCAGGTGACCGCCCGCTCGTTTGCCACCTTATGATATAAAAATAATATATTACTAGATTCTTTACTTTTTGACTCGTTGATAACAATCTATATTTTTTTCAAGGCTGATGAATTCGTAAAAAAACAAGAGAGTCATTTTGGTTTTAAAGTGTTAATACAATATAGAGAAGACTGATTTTCAATAAAAAATTGACCATATTTTTATATTTGTCTAATACATTGTAAAAACCTATATAAATGTTTTCTATATCAGCAATGACATTTTCTTTCTGTTAATAAAAACTTTATATGTATAGTCAACATAACATTATCAAATTAAGCGTCAATAGCCTAATGATTAAGGGTACGGATTTCCGATTACACGGTCGGTGGTTTGAATCCCACCATTCGACTATAGTCGTAAACCATATCCTAGCACAAGCATAGAGCTTAGTTGGAATGATAAAAGGGATATTAGTAAATTTACAAAGAAATCTGCTAATATTTAAAGTAAAAAAAATAAATAACGTCTACATTTTGATGTTTCAATGTTCTTAGATCACGGCTTAGTAACCGAGGTTGTATCGTGAACTTTACATCCTATTCAATATGATGACGCACGCTGTCTACAAACTACTAAGTTACAATAATATATTCGCAATTTATAGCGACTATTATTAATAGTAGTGAAGTCTTCGCGATTCGGGTGCGTACAGTCGTAAACAAAATCTTCAAACTTGTGTATAAAATATAAACTAACGAATTAGTGGATATATGTATTGATTAAAGTACTGGGTCTAAAAATACAGAGACGTACTTAGTTACTTTTTCAAAATGTATTTCCTAGAAGTTTAATGAGGTACAAATTTGTACTGTTTAAAATTTGTATCTGCAATATTTTGGTTTTAATTACAAAACAAACATAAAACACAATTGGTTCCGATTAGTACTAGACAAGAGCGTCGGTGGCTCAGGGGTCAAGCACTTGACTTGCAATCTGCAGATCCTGGGTTCGAATCCCGCCATGTACCAACGTGTTTTTCCATTTACGATTTCATATGTAAATTTATCCGACGTTCTTGCGGCGAAGGAAAACATCATGATACAACCTGCACATATCTGAGTAGAAATTCAAAAGATATGTGTGAAGTCAACCCGCACTAGAACAGCGTGGTTGACTATGGCCTAATCACCCTTAACTTAGGGTAGGCTCCGAGCTCCTCGGCGGGGACGGATAGTGAGCTTAATCTAATGTTTTGATCGTGACACAATATTATGATTACATACGCGTGAGTTTTTTTTATCTGTCTACAGATTTCAAACTTAAATTTGTAAGGCATTTTAGTAATACCTCAAATGACCTCATTCTTCTCAGGGTTATTGCGTCGTGAGAGCTTTTGTTCTAACTTAGTTAAGTCTACATTTCACAGTATTTCTGTTATTAAGTGATGGTAATTTTTAAGCTGATTTCTTCTCTAGAATTGCAATGCAGTGACATTTTGGTTAGACATAAAAAACAGGGATATATTGTGAAACTGTTAACATTTAACTTCGTCCAATCCAATTGTACTAAAAAGTGTGAAAGAAATTTTTTTAATCTTTATTCCCAGTAATGAACAGCTATCCAATAAAGTTCGTTTAATTGCACGGCACTTTTTATAACACAACGTGAATGGTGGACGTGACTTGGAGTCACGTCACATCACTGGTCAACCAAACATGTATTGATAGATTAAATTAAAGGTAAAATGACACCATAATTGCTAGAGTAGAAACATATCTTTTCCGCGAAATTCGACGAATACACCGCAGTTATTCAATTTTGCTCTTAGCTTGACGAAGATGTTTTATCGTAAAACTTGTATTATTCATTTAAAAATCTAAACATGTTTATTTATAGACACGTTAGATAACGAGGTGGTAACTTTCAAAATGAATTATTTATCAAAAAAAAGAACGTCACGATATTTTACAACTCTGTGAAGGACGAGTAACAACATAGTAAAGATATTTTTAAGACCTTTTGTATCTTTTATCTTTTTATTTTAGTGGAAATATATTTGTTAATAGTTACGGAGTACCATTAAGTCATGAACGACAAGTTTTTCAACGCATTTAATTTAGGCGCTTTGCAACGGTAGATCTGAAAATGGCAATCGAATAAATTGTTTCCAGTTCCTTTTTGCTTACTTGAGAGGTTCCGAGGCCTTCTTATTACTTCTATTAGTATACAGAAATTGTTATGCTATTAATGTATAGACGTAATACAGTAATTAATTCTTAACTTATTTTTCACACTTAGTCCTCACTAAGGGACTACCATAATGAGCAATTAGGCTCCAGAGAGTGGTAGAATCTTTAAAAATGATTTAATAACAGAGGCAAGTAATCAAGTCGGATATTATTCATCAATGACTTGACGTTACCATTTATCAAGGTATTATTATTTATTAATCATTCATCTCGACATTTTAAACATGCTATTATATTATGCTATAGGTCATACAAAAGGCTGTCTCATTCGCAAAGAAAAGGACCGGCAGGAGTAAAAACTTCGACGTCACACGACACGTACGCTTTAACTTACAGGCAAATAAGCGATACACCCGAAGTTCCTTTGTAGCTGCGTCAACTTAACTTCATAACACAAATTTCTTTCACTTTTGTACACAATAAAGCACTTATTTACAATCAACACACAGAAATCGTCGTCAAACACACATTTTTTTATCAAAGTTTGTAAAGTTCCGCGGCTACCACAGCCTAGTTGCGAAGATATAAAATGACTGGCTGCTTGTATAGGTGCGCGAACGCAACACCGCATTCCAAAGTAAACGAGTCGCGGAAGCTATTCCTATCTCGCTCTCACTCGCACTTCAAACCATTGGTGGGAGCGTGAAGGGAATTTATCGTACACTCGAACATTGCATAGGTAGGCCCGTTATTCACACACTCTACAGGTAAAATGTGACGAGTTGTAAAAAAAGAAAACTAACTTAATGCGCTAAAAAGTTGACGCGTAAGCTTCAAAATAAAGTTGTGAATGTAATGCTTACTATACAACAAAACACTATTATCTAACTGACCTTATAAAAAGCTCAAAACAAAACGTAGATAAAATTAGAGATAGCATCTGTGTAAACATAAAAAAATCTTTCTATTTTTTTCTACTGTCGGTTTAAAGACAAAAGTTTCCCAGGTAAATCTAAATTCTAGAACCACTCTTTGAGAGAAAAACAGTGTGCGCCTAATTTGCATTTACTCGTTTTGTACCAACTAATTGTGTACATTCATTATGTAGGTAGCTGTTTTGGCATTTTAAGGTGCAGCGAATTGCCTAACGTATATAGGAATAGCGAATTCAGGAATAAAATTTTGATGATTCCGGTACAGATCTCGAGTTCCTAAACTCCTACTCTTTCTAATCTCTCGTATTCCGTATACTTTATTGTAAAGGTCGTCTTCATAAACATAAGTCTAGGTAGCCTATGAGTAAACCTTAGTATATCACTTAACAAGTTACTCTGAGCATTGATAATTCAGCTTAAAATGACGACACCTCAAGATATTCAATTTATTTCAAGTTTACAATTATCCAATTCCCAATATGACTGGCATATGTAAGGAGCATATGTAACGTTACGTTACCTACTTACTATGAAAAGCAAAAGTAGCCGTGTGTACTTTCTTTCATAAGTTTGAATATAGTGTAAATTAAATTAATTAAATCAGGTACTTAGCTATGTGGAAAACAAAACCGTATTTCTACTCAAGAAGAAACAGTATACTCAAGTGGTTACCGCGGTCTTGTTAATCGTTTGATTTCTTTCTTTCGAACCATCTGAGAAGTAGATATATTAGTACAACCACCAAGCCTTACCAAATTCAAAGACTGAGATTGAGAAGTGGCGATTATTTTTATCATTCAGTTGCCTTAACCTGGTGGTGCATGAAGACCAACCTCTAGGAGGCTCCCAATGGATGAAAATAGCACAGATGTATGTTCCTGGTTATGGTTACTACAATCTTCGGTAGATACTCACTACTTTTAGGGGTACTATCTGCTATCACAAAAATAATAAACGTTTCGTTTTGCGTTACGAACTTTGGTAATAACTTAAATTAATTAATATAAATCGCCATTTAACAAAAACAGAATTCTTTATGATTATGAGAGTAATTAAATATTACACTTAAATTCACTTGAAAATATTTAAGTTTCTAAATAACAATTCTTTTTGTTTTGCCGTTGTGACGTATAATATTTAGTATCTGTGTTTTACGAAACTGTCAAAATTAGCATCTGTCAATGTCAACAAAGCCAGAGTATCGAGAGATGCATGTTTGTTTTTATTTAATGTTTAATCTCATCTTAAATAGCTGTTATAAAAAATAAATCTAAACTAGGTAATTAAGTAAAGTTTTTTTTACATAGTAGAGAAATTTCATTAAGTGTTTTTCACAAATTATTGTCCATTTCTATCTATTTAATGATTTGTTTAATAACATCGTTGTGTATTTTCAGTTTTTTTTTCCGTTAAAAACATGCCGAAAGTTCGCCGCAGTCGTAAATCACCTCCTGAGGGATGGGAATTGATTGAACCTACTCTTGAAGAACTTGAACAAAAAATGCGAGAAGGTATGTAAAAGTAACCTACAATTAAATTTGAGAATATTCTAATACTACGTATCATTTATCTACAAAAAATATTGCGATTCAGACTGTTTGTAGTAGTCAACCTTTATCACCCTAATCCAACAAATTCTTACTTAACCTACAACTTTTTCAGTGACCTTTACACTGCAGTATGCATTAAAATTCTATGCTAAATGTATTTGTTGTGTTATTACAGCGGAGACAGAACCTCACGAGGGAAAGAGAAAGCAGGAATCACTGTGGCCAATATTTAAAATACATCATCAGAAGTCTAGATACATTTACGACTTATTTTATAGACGTAAAGCTATCAGTAGAGAGCTATATCAGTACTGTCTGGATGAGAAGATCGCTGATGCTAACTTGATTGCTAAGTGGAAGAAAACTGGATATGAGAATCTTTGTTGCTTAAGATGTATACAAACAAGGGATACCAATTTTGCAACTAACTGCATATGCAGAGTCCCAAAAAGCAAGCTTGAAGAAGGAAGAATTGTAGAATGTGTTCATTGTGGTTGTCGAGGATGCTCTGGGTAATCATAGGATATAGTACTTTATGTTTTAAGTGTTTTCATAAGCTACATGTAAAAAAATATATTTTTAAAAATTGGTATTTGGTAGTTTTCCACAACCTAATATTCTTTTGTTCTTGAGAATAATGAATAGAAATGAAAATAATTATATTTAGCTTAAATGTAATTTAATCAAAATAATAAATCTGATGAGACACAAAAGAAAAACCTATAACTGCTACAGAATTTAACAAAAAAACAAAATATGACTTCCCTTTTAGAATTTACTAACAATGTTACATGAAATAATCAACCGAAAACAACTTAAAACAATATTTATTGGTAATCAAGACAATATAGAAGTATACTGTTAGTTACCTCATAAACTCAAAATTTCAAGTTATTAATACTTGCTTTAAACCAAACATAAAATTATAAAACTAAAAAATTAAATTACTTTTGAAATATTTTAACAACTGAAAAAATATATCAACACTTTTCAACCAAACAAAGAAACACACTTTAATTTTCTAAATCACAAATATACCATGTTTTGAGTATTCTTTTAATCGCAATTCTCATTGACATGAAATGAGATTCATAGTTATCAACACTTATTTACTTCTAATATTTTATGTACTCTTAACTCAGTCAGTACTTATTGTTAAGTTTACCTAATGTTTGTTTTAAAATTTTAATTGTACTTTGAGACCAGCTACATAACTTTGTCCTAACAATATTTTAATCATTTAAGGTTAATAAAAAAGTTATAAAATAGATTTAAACACATTCAGTCCAATGTAAGTCTTTTGCCAATTCTTTAATTAAATCTATACAGACAATTTGATTAATATTTTTGCTCAGCAAATACAGTACAAACCAGTCACCAAAACTATAATGTTTAACAATTTTTGATACTGGCGACCTTTTGATACGTCTCAACCGGGCTGTAAGTATGTATGTTCGTAATGCTGGTGTACAGAATATTAGTATACGAAATAAGACCGCTAGAGCTGAGAGTAAAGCTAAAATAACCAGCCAAAACCAAAGTATGACAAATATCTTTTCGTTGATTACATTCAGTGGTAGTACACATAGTCTATCTTTGAACTGTATCGTTCCTGAAGGTCCATATGATCTGAACCAGCATTTTGTTACCTTCGGGAAAAACTTATCCATTGGATTAACTGAGACAAAGTCTTTCATGTCTGTGGAGAGACGCGGATGATGGGTGAATGAAGCCACAGCAGTACCATAATCGCGGAATGACCCATCCAAGAATATGTCCAAGAGAAATATTTGACCAATCTACAGAAAATAATAAATGTATTAAAATAGGTAACCATAAGATACCAAACTAAGATATTTTTCCAAAACAGAATTCAAGATACAGATACAAAAAACTGTTCAACTAGTTTTGGTCTACAGTAAAATTTTTAAATCCAATATGGTTATGCACTTTCGTTGTTTTGCAAAGCCAAGAAAAATTATATTAAGTTTCTTAAGTCTTAAACTTTGTACTCTATTCAATGGATTATTAGTATCCTAAGCAGGGTAAGAGACTACAGTCATGAGTAAGGTTATATTTTACTAACCGCATTAGCAAGATTCAAAAATTCACAGAAGGCAAACCGGAGAGCATACATGTTGTGTGTGCAAGTGTTGTAATCGTTGAAGTAGGCCAGTAGTTGGTGACGAGGTCCATCAGACCAGTCTTTCGATACAATGGGAAATGCTGAAAAAGATAAATATATATATATATATATATATATTTCAAATACTTTAAATCAAGTTTTTATTTTTATGAACTAAGGATGCGTACCTAACTTTAGCAGGATATAAGGCAAATTCTAATTCTTATATTAGATCCAAGTAACATGAACATAATCAATATAATTATTTCTACAAATTATTTAATGACTTGTGTTATTTGATTTACATTTCATTAGACCACTTAATAAGAAGTATATTAATGTACTGTAAAGTGTATGGCAACAACTAATGATAAGTAAAGTGTTTTTCTCTATTTTATATTTAAAAGACCATATACTAAAAGTACAAATTAAAAAGGTAAAAAACATTCTTTACAAATGAAATATGGGACAGAAAGGAGTATTTAAGACTAATGTAGACGATGTTGCAATTAAAAGATATGTCAAAAAAATCTCACAGGTATCAGACTGAATTGAATCATACTAATATTATTCATACTAATAAAATTATAAATCCGAATGTTTAGATGGTTGGATGTTTGAAAGTCCAGAACGGCTGAACGGATTTAGCAGTATTTGGTACAGATGTAAAACATATTGTTGCAGAACAAATAGGCTTCTCATTTAGTTTTGTTTTCATGAGTCATGGGCGATAAAAAAATATTACATACATAAATTAGCGGACAAATCTCTAACTCTGCCTCCCTCCCAAGACTTCCAAAGGTAATGTGGTATGTAAAACATGAAAGCCTGTCCAAGAAGTACAAAGCAGACCCACTGGTAGTATGTATGCTCTATTTGGTCATCATTTTTATTTAAGCTAGGACCTACTCCAGCATACACCATGTGTTTGCCTTCAATTCCTGTGAAAAATATAAAAGTGTAAGTAACTCACTTTGCAAAATCAAAGTTGCTTTTTAATTAACTGATAGTATTATTTCTAGTTGTAACAAAAATACTGGTAATATTTAAATTATAATTTTATACTGGCAAGTTCAGTTGTACACTTGCATTTATGAGTACTTTTCAAATAAAAATTATTTAGTAACAACATGAAGGTTTCCTAAGGTCCTTCAAGTTTAATATGTCAATTAAACTTATTTTTATAGTGGCAAGTGTAACTACAAGTTCTTAACTCTTCATCAAAATGAATAATTGAAATTTGTATCTCTAAGTTGTTACGATTTCTTTAGTCCATTTATGTTCATTTTTAAAACCCGGGACATTTTTCATGAGCTAATAGAAAAAGTCTGTGATGCATAAGAAAAATTTTTACAAATTATTAGTACCGCAGCTTATTCGAGAATAAACAAAAACATAAGTTTATTTTACAACAGTTTGAGAGCGCGCGATCCTTAATATTAGATTTAAAATGAATTGAAGTACATACCATTTAGTTGGCTTTTTAAAGTATACGTCCCATAAATCCAACAGTAATTGTTTATCGCATCCTTGTTATCATCTTTGTCTGATCCGCTCATGCAATGCATTGGTTCACCGAAAAACTGTTTAGAAGTAACCATCAAAGTGAACATGAACAACATTATCACCGTGAATTTATAATGTAGTCGGAACACATTATTATCCGTGATTATATTTTTAGGCTTAAGAAAAGAACGAAAAGGCGATAGTAAATCTATCATCTTCGGTTATTGCGCATGAAACCACTATAATACAAAGTTTTCTTCCGAAGATAACACCGCCCCGAAAATATTTTACCCGCAAAACTGTTTATAAAAATTGACGGAAACGGTGAAGTTTTGACATATTTACAAAATATTTTCTTTTTTTTTCACACAAAGCAGACTTATTTTTAAAATAAGAATATTAAAACTTAGTTCATTTTTTAAAAGTAGTTTTTATGTAATATTTGTAAGGCAGCAGTTAAAAATAAATAATTAAGTGGGTTACTTGTTAAGACCAAAATCTAATAAATACGTAAATAAAAACAAACACTCAATTTTTATAAAGATATGTCATAAAGGAACTAGGTAAATGAACTACTATAACTAAGTTCATAACTTTTTATAATAAAAAAGTAAACGACGGTAACAACGTATAATAAACTGAGATAAAATAGCACAAAAACTTTTGGTGATTTATATTTTTAGTTAATTTTTATCTTATAAAACATAATGATATTGTGAGACAGTCAACTAATCGAAACATTGACTTATTGTTCTTTAAATTTATATTATTTTTATTAAGTAGATAGGTATGTATATTGAAATGTAATTTTAATTTTAATGCAAAAATTCTCTAAAAAAATTTAATGCTACATGTATTAAATTACGAACTTTAGCGTAATTTTAATGTTATACCAGACGCCGTACACCATAGGTTTTCCTCTGCAGTAAATAGAGTTGGAACTTTACACGTCCTTCCCCCTTTCTACAGTTTACATATTTGGAATCTTGGATATTAGGATTTTTGAAAAAAACGATTCTTTTTCAAACCCCTGCAGAAAAATTAGACAGATTTTGATTGAAAAAAGATGATTTATTCCACAGGCGCTTTTTTAACAAGCGGATGTTTAAGCGACGTTCGAATACGCTAGAAATTAACTTTTAAGTATGAAATAGTAGTTAGTTAGGCATAAAATAAAAATAAATATGATAGTCAAAATCATTTATTATTATCTACATTACCACTGACCTTATAAATAATTTCACGAACACCATTTTGTTTATAATTAGTTTGCATATTTAATTAGGAATGTTTTGTATAGAGATTAATAAGAAAGCTATAGTGGTATAAATAATAATTTAAACTTCTTAAAACAATAAAGTTTAGTAGTTAAATAGAAAGTTGCATAGAAAAAAAGATGTAGGTAATAAATTTTTTTAAGAGATTGTGCTGGAAATATACACTAAAAGGCACTGTTTCTTTATATCTAAATTCTAAACATGTCCATCAATGTACATAAAAAAGAAACTCGTCACATTATAAGTCCTTGACGGTCAAAATTTTTCTAATAAAAAAGTAAACCTAAAAAAAAATAACATTGCTTTATCATAGGCCTTCATTGCAAAGTACAAAATTTCTTTAATCTAGCACAACACACAGACACACAAACGGTTAACATTTATCTATTAAATGTGATCAACATTTTTATTTCTAAGATGTCGTTTAACATTTCACCATTTTTATAATACACAAATATCCATTTCCATTAATTTCCTGTTTAAAAATAAAACATTAACACCTACTGACCTAATTTGAACATATTTAGATAAAATAAAACATTATTATTGTAACTATGACAAGGAAAACCTGAAAACTTAGTATTTTTATATTAACTATTTACATAAATGTCTTTTTGTTCGCTTGTTAACAATAAATAAATTTTTTTTTTAAATATTATTTTGATCTTTGGTGCAAATCACTATATTAAAAAATAGGGTTAGAACTGCTAATTAGGAGATGGATACAAGAAATGAAAAAAAAAAAAAGATCAGAGGGCCTAGCACGAATATTTGTGAGATAATTAAGATTTGTGCAGCGCCTCTAGCGGGCGAAAAGTACACCAACAAAAATCATAATTTTTTTTAACATAATTTGTCCGATGACGTTAGGTAGGTTTCCAAATTTTAGCTATTGACTCTGTGATGCGTGATAAATGCGTAAATCCTAGGTTCAACATACGCGTACCGCGAGCGTTCTGCACTTTGGTTGAATTTACATGGAACATATTTGCACTTTTCCAAAATATGTCACCGTGTACAGCGGTCCTTAGTGTAAACATTTTGTAACCCTTAGAACTCCACTATAGTCACATAGTGTCATCTCTTTCATTATCTTTGTAAAAACAGAGACCACAATAAGTATGAATACAATGGAGAAAAAAACGCTTTCAGCTTACTATAGATGTCAGCATAATCAAGAGTAGCACTAAATGTACCACAGATATACAAAAAACACTTTATATATAAAGTGCAAAGTACTCTGTGGTCTGTAGTCATAGCAATGACTTCTGTCAAATTTCACTGAAAAAATCAAAAATAAGTAATTTTTGAAAATAGTTCACGTTTTTATAACAAAAATGGCTTTTTCCAGCATTAATGTTCTTTTTTAATTATGGCACAGACAATAAAGAACACATTTTTTTTTAATTTGTTAAAATGACGTATAAAAACCTTGACAGATGACTACCTCTTGCCACCGGCGTCATCTACTTAGAGCGGTAAATTTTTCTCCCCATTGTTAGGGGGCGTCCATAAAGTACGTGAGGTGTTTTTTTAAATTTTCTGCCCCTCCCTCCACCTGGTGAGATGTCGTGAGATTTTATTCAACCACATCCCCCAATCTCACGTGAGATTTGTCAAAATGTGAGTTTCTTGCGTTGACACGTTGGATTGTTATTGTAAAAAAAATGCTTCGTGCTTTTGCTTGTTTTGTTTCAATCAGAAAAAAAATTGCGTGATATTTGTCCAGACTCCCCCCCCCCAACGTAAGATTAGATGAGATTTGACTCGACCCCCTCCTCCCCCTTCAACACCTCATGTAATTTATGGACGCCCCCTTACTGCATCCAAAATAGTGTGTAAAAAATTATAATTGACGTATTCATTAATTATATTTAAATTATAATTTACTGTTGACGATGTGTTCGGGTGTGTATTCATCGAATGCCATATTGCCTAAGGCAAATATATTGTCTGGATCTAGCGCCTGCTTGGCCGCCAGCAGCAGCCTGCGACCTGGCGAGCTCACTGTCTGTTCATACCACTTCTTACGCAACTTGCCTACACCGTGATGATGGGATATTGAACCTGGAAA